CAGCAGCAGAAGCTGCGTTGGTTGAAACATGTGTTACGTATGCTGAACCATCGTTTGCCGAAGAGCGTGCTGTTTTCCATGCCCAATTTAGAGTGGCGTAAACAGAGAGGTGGGCAACCCTTGACTTGTCAGAGGAGTATGAAGGAGATCAAGAAACGCTTGGGTTCTACTCGCCTTCCAGGATGGGGACCGCGTGATCCTCACTGTGCCTGGTTGGAGACACTACAAGATATGGCTGCCAACCGATGTCAGTGGCGTTCTTGTTGTCGGTTTCTGTCCAGATTGCCTGAGTGAATGTCTGGAGGTGTAGGCACCTCGGAATGATTGTGTTAAACTAGCACTAACTCCCTTCCCCGTCCACCTTTATTCTTTTCTTTACAATAAGGCTTTCAAATAAGTCATGGTTGTACGGCAGTGAAGCATCGGTGTTGAACACTGATGCCATGCTGTCGGTGATGATGATGATGATGATGATGATGATGATGATGATGATGATGTAGTAAACACGTCTATATTTCATCACACGTGCTTGGACGCAGCACCGCACCAAGAAACCAACAGTGACCGTTTTTGGTGATCTGAGGATCGGCCCTGACCCTTTTCATTTCGGTCAGTTTGACAACCGTAAACCGTGTTCGGTGTGTACGGGCACGTACCCCATGATCTATATAGCGTTATTCATTCATCGCGGTAGAGTCCCTTCTTCCTAAAACTATCTGGCGTACCTCAAAATTGGTAACCCGATATTCCTACCAAACCCAACCAATACTTCGGAGACACCGACGGTTTAACACTGACAACTTTTATGTCATATGTAGATGATTAACTGCATACCAAACCGTCCGGTAGAATCAATAAGGTCACTTAAGATGATCTGTCATAGATCTGAAAGGAGGATAGCAATATCGCAGACACCACATAATCAGTGTTTGCAAGCGACCATCCAGGAGCATTTCGACCCCCCCCCCTCCCCGATGTTTCGGACACAAAGGGGGAAATTTCAAGCAGTACGGCAATAACAAAGTTGAAAAGGAACAACAAAAGAGGGCAGTCTTGTCTTATACCACTGAACATGGTGAACCCGGGCAAAAGCTCGCCATAACAAGGGATATTAATTTGGAAGGGATACCCTTGAACGCCAGACACCGCTAAAGGTCTGCTGGGCTCGACGATATCAATTGTTCATTCAGTCGCGTCGGACGGCTTGGACAGACAGTTCTGAAGACTGATAGCATAACTTCAACTCTCCCATTCAGCCTCCACGCAGTCTTCGTCATCCACATGACTGTGCGTTTCCAGTAATTTTCTATCGTCAAATCGGCTCGATACTGCTGAGCAAAGGAAATTTGGTGAAGTTGAATACTGGATTTGCCCTACTTTGGTACGCGTATTACTGACGGATAGCCAAGTGATAACCGGGCCCGCACAATAACATAATCGGGGTCAAGATGCATATCCAGAAGGAACGGCAACCTTTAACTAGGGCTCTCCAAAGGTAACTGACAGTCACATGGTCCAACTAAGTCCACGAATGTTTTGCAGTTGGTCGTCTACAAGCAATCCAATAGGAGCGTTTGTGCTGGAAGTGACCAGGAACAGACTATGGTAAGCACACAAATGAAGTCGCTTTCCATTATTAGTACGCTGAGAATCGACTGCAAATCTACCTGACTTAGTCGTTCAACTTGGACATTCATATCACCCGCCAGGATTACTATACCTGCCCACCTTGCTGACCAAAGGACTCACGACGGACATCGATAAAACCTGTCCTCATCAGGTTCAAAACTGCAGTCTTTCGGGGCGTATGCTGATATAAATAAACACCGCTTATCGCATTGACTTGCATTGACCTTAATCGGGTCAGACAACTGCATAAAACAAAGATACTGTTTACTGAAATCCTTCTTGGCTGCGGAGGGGGTGGGGCAGACTGGCCCTAAAACGATGAGAGTGAAGGATTACTGTCTAACTCTTGGTGCGACTATGTACAGTAGGCACCTTTTGAGCAGCACCACACTCAGGTTTCAAAAGTATCCCACCCGTACTAAATGACGACTCGGTGGTCACAGTCAAGCGTTGAGCGATTGGGGTGTGCGGTTTTAAAGCTAGCCTCTTCTAACTCCTTCCTTGAAGGGACAGCATCGCTCTTCCATAAATATGAACGTTCAGAGGAGAACACGACTGTATTAGTGCAATTCATTTCATTCTCCGGGTCATGAATGGTCTACCTTGCAGTACCTTCCAGTCAGAACATCTCAGTAGACGAGGCACGGAGATCACTTAGCATACGGAGCACACGGCCGAGCCACTGCTGTTGGTACAGCCAAATCAACTCATCACTTGGACAAACAGTTGATTTGTTGCGAAAACCCATTCGTCCCATTTGACCATTGCTACCTCCTATGTCCGGTGATCCATGTGCAATGTGCTTTCAAACAGCACGTCAGCAACACAATTGAAAATGTGGGAGATGGAAGCACCAATGGACGGGACGGACTTAGGCAACAGCCTGCTGCGTACCACTACACGCCCACATGAGTTCGAATAGTTCCCACAGTTCCAGACGACCCAGATAGTCAAAAGCAGTATTCGAATGAAAAAAGCCCGATGCTTGACGTTTGAAAGATTAGTGCTACTCGAACACGCGTCTCGGAGTGAAGATATCGTCAGTGAATCCTCGATGAAGGATAAAGCAAATCTGATTCTCACGAATCCGTCTGTCTTGATAATCTATCAAACTGTGCAAAAGACTGTCTGTCACGATTACCACGCTGATATTGCGATGGAGTTCTTGTGCTAATTTTTAATAATAGGACCACGGCTGTGGTGCTCCAGCTCAATGGTATTGTTTTCGTCCTATATCCCCCATAGTGCGGGTACCATACTGTTCACCAAGGCCTCACTAGTTTTTTTTAAAGTGTGAGATGGCTCGGTGGTAAGGGCGCGAATTTGCTGACCGGAAGGTTCACGGTTCGAAACCGACCTCTGCCTCTCAACTTCCCCTGTCTAAGCTTATGTAACCTGGCAGTATCTCAGCTCCCGTGTTTTCTTCTGGTGGCATGGCATTTAAGCACCAAAAGGGTACTACACTTGAACAAGTTTTCTCGGATATCTGACATAGTAAAAACAGCCTAGTATCCTTTAAGTTCCTCCATACAGTATCCGATATCAGCCCAATTCGAAAGTAAAGGTGGATACGTAAAATAGATGTGTTCTCAAAAGATTATACACAATATTTCCTAGGATGCATGGGTGGAATCCCAGAAGACAAATCTGCGAATAATTATAAAATTCCTACATCTTATACTTGGCGGTGGCAAGGAAGTTCATGTCCGGGCTGAAGGTAGGACCTATTAGTTGTTAATGTCGCTGCGTTGCGCAGACGACGTGAAAAGGAGACTGCCGTTTGATACTCCACTTCTTACCTGCCAAGCAGTACCCAGTTTCAGAAACTCGGAAAATGCGGATTGTCTGGCTTAACCAAGACCATCGAAACAAGTATGACGCCACACATACTTGTATCCAAATAGCATGAAGTAAACGAAGTTTTTTACAGTAAGGGCAGAGAGGCTATAAAAGCGCGGTTCAGTTCTGAGCGGAATATATTGCTGATTAGTATTGGCTTGGTCCAACCCACTGAACATAGGGCAGATACGGGTGACTCTGTATTGATTATTCATTGCCGAGTAGAACCTATTACAGGCCCAATGGGTGTTAGCATGCTCATTTTATCA